AATATCAATTTTGGGACAGCAAAAAGGATGCAAAAAAGTTTACCTCTTTTAATACCGGGCTTCCCCCTAAAAGCCCCCCGTAGTGGGTAAAAACGACAAAGGATCGATATACCAAAAATATGTACGCCGTAGCAAAAATGTCTTTAATGAAAAATATAGCTGTAATAATTATTAACAAAAATAATCAGCACTTTTTATGTAACATGAATCGTTCACTCAAAAATAATGCTTGCCGCGACCGGCGATTTTGAATGTCAGTTGCTCGCGCGTAATCGATTTTAAATAAAATTTGTATCAACTCGACGGTCAAAATTTCAAATTTTTTTATCAGAGTATCCTATCGACAAAACAAATATGCATGTTAAAGGTGAAGAGTGCAGATTTCGTATGCTAGTTTTGTTTTGTATAGCAAATGTAGTCAGTTTTTATTAAGGGGTTTAAAAATTAAACGTTGCGCGAATTTTAGATAAAATTGCGCGATAAAAGATCGACATGTAAAACCTATAACATAAAATTTCAATTTTAAGTTGTAAAAACAAATCTGAGGCATTCGAAATATAAGTAAAAACGCAGAATTTAAACTGTAGAATTACAAACGATTACACGTCACGGAAAATGCCTCTGAGAAGACGGATTTGGGTGTAATTTCTAGCAGAAGTTAAGTAGTTTCGAGAAACGTACTAGTGTAATTGAAAAAGTGCAGCTTTAAACATTTTAGGTCGTTCGTAATGTAAAAGTTCATCGTTTCTTAAACATATTTCATATGCCTCATATATTATGTGTATTAATATCTTATATATTAGGAATATATATATATATATATATATATATATATATTGTGTATATATATATATATATATATATTGTGTATATATATATATATATAGGATATATATATATATATATATATATATATATCTATATATATATATATATATATATATATATATAATATATATATATATATATAATCCTCTAAAATAATAGCTGATCTGGTAGATGAAAAAGGGGGTTAAGGTTAATTGGGTATACAGCTGATTAAAAGCCATGTGCACTCTGTTCAATATATCAATGTAATAAATCAATCAATCAATCAATGTATCAGTAATGACATAATAACGTTTAATGACAGTCTCTCAACTAAACGTTTTTGTGTTTGTTTTGTTTTTAATTTGAATCGTGTTTGTCTCTAATATTTTAATTGTGAACGTAAATTATACAACTAAATGTTACAACAAACAAACAACTATTGACTGTATTTTACCATGTTTTTAAATAATTGTAGAGCTCCCATCTGATGACACCAAGGAAAATTTGCGAAATATAATGAACTGTTGAACAGAGTGCACTTGGCTTTTAATCAGCTGTATACCCAATGAACCTCAACCCACTCATATATATATATATATATATATATATATAATATATATATATATATATTATATATATATATATATATTTATATATATATATATATATATATATATATATATATATCTAAATATATATATATATTTATATATATATATATATTATATAATATATATATATATATATATATATATATATATAATATAAAATTATTATTTCTTGGGTTAGGTTCAATAAAGATATGTTACATGTGGAACTAGATTTTATTTTCCATTGCAATTAATCAACGTTTCGGCAGAAACCCTTGCCTTTGTCAACATTCTAAAATGTGTATATATATAAGGACAAACAGATATTGTGAAATATGTATATATATATATATATATATATATATATATATATATATATATATATATATATATGACTTACCAAAACGTAAAACGTGACACAGACATTAACGAACTGACATATAAAAGTTGATATCTGATACCTCATTGTTTACTGTCATTAGTATATAATTATTTTTGTATGGGCGTATCGTTGATGTTTTTGAAAAAGGTAAGGTGGAGATATGTTATGACTTTAAGAGCTTTTTATGATGTTATATTGTTATTATTTAAATCAGATTGAAATATATTTTATTTAGGTTTTGTGTATCTTTTTTGTCATTTATTGCGTTGGTGTTTCTTTTTATTTCTATTGATTCGTATATCTCCCTTTTCTTTTTGTTTTTTTTCTGTTTTTAAAATTTTAATGTTTTAATCTTTTAATTTTTAATTCTTCAATACAGAATTCGTTCTCACAAATACGACAAGAACAACGTCACTGCGCTCACAAAACATGAAAGCGGGAAGAAGCATAAACTTGACTTTGAAAACATTAAAATTTTAAAAACACAAAAAACAAAAATAAAAGGGAGATATACGAATCAATAGAAATAAAAAGAAACACCAACGCAATAAATGACAAAAGAGATACACAAAACCTAAATAAAATATATTTCAATCTGATTTAAACAATAACAATATAACATCATAAAAAGCTCTTAAAGTCATAACATATCTCCACCTTACTTTTTTCAAAAACATCAACGATACGCCCATACAAAAATAATTATATACTAATGACAGTAAACAATGACATATCAAATATCAACTTTTATATGTCAGTTCGTTAATGTCTGTGTCACGTTTTACGTTTTGGTAAGTCTAATATATATATATATATATATATATATATATATATATATATATATATATATATATATATATATATCTATATATATATATATACATATTTTACAATATCTGTTTGTCCTTATATATATACACATTTTAGAATCTTGACAAAGGCAAGGGTTTCCTGCCGAAACGTTGATTAATTGCAATGGAAAATTAAATCTAGTTCCACATGTAACATATCTTTATTGAACCTAACCCAAGAAATATTAATTTTATATTAAATATAATACGGTTCAAGAAACTCAAAACTACAATATATATATATATATATATATATATATATATATATATTATATATATATATATATATACATATATATATATATATATATATATATATATATATATATATATATATATATATGTATATATCTCTGGAAAGATGGCGAAACCATATATGTCAATTTTTCATAGTTTTCAGGAGAGACCACTTTTAAGGTTTCAAAATTATTACTAGATATTAATTTGGTAATACAAGGTATTGTTATGTTTATTGTGCAATAGTACAAATAACTGAATGTAGGTTCTAATGTGTGAAACATGAAGGAAGATTATTTGCTAGTTTTTGGAATATCTTGGATATTTTAGATATATGTGGTTTTGCCATCTTATAAATTAATTATTTTATGTATATATTGTTTTGAAACGGAAATGAAAAACAAGACATTTGTATTTTATATTATTGCTGGTAATGTTACAAATTGGATTTGTATAACCAATTAGTCTTCTGTATTCGAATCCAAGGCATCATCGCACAATTCATCATATTCTTTTGCGTTTGATGTGGTTGGCAAATTTTTATAAAAGGCATGGCAGTCTTCGTCTATTACGTCTAATAGCGATAAAAGGTTCTTCTTTTTCTTTGGATTAATATCCAAGGGGCTATTGTATGAGCGAGGAATAGCTATGGTAGCCAGTGATGGTTGACCTCTTCTTTTTCCCCTTTTTATATCTAGAGATTTAAATAGTGCTTCATCGTCAAGGGTATACTTAAACTGAATTAGCCCAAACTCCTCGGTCTATCTTAGCCATATCAAGCCAAGATATATTTTCACCTTCAGTGTCGTTTGTTCGTTTGACTAGTATGTCACGTAAGAACATGGAAAATGCCAGAAACTCTTCTTCTCTAATATCAACCAATGTAAATTTGGATTATACACAGATAATTAACGGTTACAGTAGAGTATGTTAGTTGATGAATATGGAGCTGGTAGGACTTGTTGTAAATCAAAAGCCAGTACTCTTTTCGTTTCATCATTTTAAGCGATCTCTGTCTTTTCGTTTGCTTTCTAAGGCTTCATTAACTTCGTTAATGTGGTCGTCCCGTTGTTTATTAATTTTGCTTTAGCCGCCTCTGTACTAGCATTCTCTTTTAGTGTTTGATATTCGTCACATTTGCGACATGTATCGATGTAGGGCGGTTTAAATTTATACTCCGTACTATTGAATACGTCACGAAAAACAATATAACTAGCAGATTTCTTTAACCGTTTTTTTAATATATTTTCTTGATATTCTTTATGCATTTGACGAAGTGTTAGGTGGCTGGGTAGAAATATTTAATTAGTATTATCTCGGCTGGCATCATGACTTTCATGTCTTGGATATTAATCCATAAATTTCTGAATTTCACTGCGTTATTTGACCAACTTATTAGAGGGTACAAGCTGTCCTCTCATATCTGTTTTTTATCAATCCATCCTCTGACGATTTAGATTTGGAGGAGATTTAGCTGGTTTACTGTTACTCCATGCAGATTGATAAAAAATTCTTGCACACAGTTACAATTTTCTGAGATTCTATATGCCCCGAGTAACTAACAGTTACGACCCGATTATGTGGCTTCTCCCCTTTCATCCTCTGGCTTTCATTATTTGGTATTTGCATTTAGAAAGAGTCATTCTTTCACATAATATTTGTTAAAATAAAACTAGACCAAATTATATTTTGTCGTTAAGGGGTGCAATTTTGATAACAATTTTTTGTACAACATTTTGTATTGGTCTAAAAAATTCAATCAAATGCATATCAACGTGAATAGTGGTGTTACTTTATAATATATCTGCATATAGTATATTGCCAGCTTCTCAAGTACCTTACTCTAAAGGTGTTATATCGAGACAAGAATAGTTATAAGATATTATATGGCATTTCGATCTATCAGTAAGATGTCACATGTCACTGTTTTGAATTTATGTGCTTTTGACACCATTAAAAACACAATACCTAAACACCTGAAGCATACCTTATTTTGCCATCTTTCCGCAGATATATATATATATATATATATATATATATATATATATATATATATATATTTATATATATATATATTTATATATATATATATATATATATATAAATTAAGTATGTCTTATTCCATTTTAGGTAGCTTAAGCAGCAGAAGTTACCTTTTTAGAAAAGTATGTAGAAATTGTATCGCAATGTAATTCCACGCTATCTAATCAAGATTTTAAAGATTTTATGACTGGAAAAAATTAGAACAGTAGTGAACTAGGAAATTTTCTAGTTTGTATGGATAAAAAGTTTTCGATATTGGATGATAATGGAGACGTCAATGTTCACCAATTCAAAAAAACTCTTGCTTTCGTGGTGCCCCAAAATAAATTAGAATATTTAACAAAATTATGTGGACGCAGACCAGAAGGCGCTACATTAAATGAAACAGCGTTATTTCTAATGAGTTGTGTCCAAAAAGAAGGAGTAGATTTGGCACCCATAATAAAATTATACCAATAATTGTTTAATAAATGCTTGTTACAATATGTGCTATTGTTTTGTTTCTTGGACAATCCAACCTACTTTTAGAGTTTACATGCCTGAATTATCATTGTTAATTTGATAGCTCAAAAAGTTTGCTACACTGATTTTACACATATTAGACAAGTGAAACTTACTATCTTTTGTCATTTTTAATATATCGTCCTGGTTAGTAACTTTGTCGGTAAAAGATATCTTTAGGATTCTACGATAATGCTACATTTAAAAAACCTCGATTTTCTCACAGGTAGTGGCTGTGAGGGTCCACGATTCAATTACAAACAGCAGTATAGGAAAGATATCGCAGTAACTTGATTTTTTTAAGTATTTATAAATCATGACATTTGAATAGGTAAACCATTTGATTCCTAGGGAATGGTCTCAATTTTCATTAACGTTCTTACCCATGTAGATGCATATTTTAACGCTTGCTGTTCGTTGATCTTTCACACTGATTCGTCCAAATTGCTGTCTCTTCTTAGAGATCATCATACATTTTGTTTTTATACTGTTTAGTGAAGGTCCATATCTTTGACCTAAGTCTGTGATCCTATTCCCCTCCTAAAAGGCTTTATAACTGTCAGCCAATACCACCGTTTTGTCTGCGTATCTGATGTCAGTAATACACTCTCCGTTAATTTGAATTTCGGCTTTAATATCCTTTTTTGATTCTTGAAAGATTTCCTCAGAATATCTGTTAAACAGCAGAGGTAAAAGTATATACCCCACGTTTTATTTTCATATTCTTGGATTCTTTTGCCTCTGTACAAATAGAAGATGTTCTAGTCAAAATTGCTAATAATTCTTAGATGAAAGTTGTTTATTCCAATATTTCTCAGCTTGTTGTACTTTACTGTATCAAACGCCTTATAGTAATCAATGGATTATAGATAAACATCGCAATTCATGTCTATGCATTAATAAAACAGCACTCGTATGCTTATACATAGTATAGTATAAATATTATAGCAATTAGATTATAATATACAACGACCCGAAATACTTTCCTTAACCCTACGGAACACACTGGCTGCAGCAACCAAACTCAGAGTAGTCCAAAGATGAATAAAACACTTACTTCTTTGACTGACTCTTACAGGCAGAGTTGGAAACGAACAATTAAAAATAAGAACACATGTCGTAGTTATAGAACGTACTATATGGCTGAAGTTGAACTGGGTGGCCAAAATTAATGACGGGTGGTGTACCCAAAATTTACAGTGTGAAGACCACGCGCTGACAGAAGAAGCAGGGGTAAAAAATTCATGCCATAAAAAACGTTTAAATAATCGCTGGAAAGCGATTGGGTATAGGAAGCTCAAGACCAACCGAACTCAAACAAATTAGGAGAAGCCTATATTCAACTTTGGACGCTGACGGCTGGATAATGATGATGATATAAAAATAGATTTAGCAAGTTAATTATAAATTTGTTATAATATAAATAAATTACTTTTAATAAGGTTTCTATAATATCCTGAGTCTTCTGTTTTTTATCACATGTCGTCATGTTGATCACCTAATGGAATGTTGATCGGTCGGTAGCTATATAAAACAATTATTTGACCGTTCGATCTATCCATTATCTAAAGTTAGGCAGCCAAGATTGTTGTTTTTATCCACGTTTAGATACAGATGAGAAAATACTTAAAATGGGTAGAGCGTAATCTTTTGATTTTACAGGTTTGTGAAAATATATTGATTAAATTTATTTTAAAGATTTTAAATGGTTTTGTGTTTAAAGAAATATTTGGTAACCAACTGTCAAACGATATAAAACATTGGTTCTTTATTTTATAATCTCTACTTCTATGGTAAACGTTTCTAACAATAAAGTTAGGAAATATTAAAAAAACATAAAATTTAAAAACGATTGTCCAGCATCGAGTCATCAAAATATTGACCCAAGATACACACCTTCATCCTTGGGGCAAAAACATTTTTGTTAACAAAGACGTCGGTCCAAAAAGTTGGACCGACAAGGAGATGCATTTAATGTCATAAAAGTAGTTGCCAAAGTTATAAAAGCCATTATTTCTGAGAAGATGACCAAATTCCTTGTCCATTAACATGTTATTCCAACACAACAACATGGATTTGTCGCTCTACTCTAACCAATCTCCTACATTGTGTTAACGACTGAATGTCATCCCTTAACAGTTCGGAGCCGGTTGACGTTGTTTATCTTTATTTTTTTAAAACCTTTGGCCGTGTTCCTAAGCGCAGAATTCTACATAAGCTAGAACATTTCGGATACTTCTTTGGATAAATGATTTCCTGACAGATCGACATTACAAAGTTAGAGTCGGCAAATCTTTCTCAGAACAGGTTGGTGGAAAGTGGAGTGCCTCAGGGTTCTGTCCTTTTCTCTGCTCCGGACCTCTGCTTTTTACGGTTTATACCAGCGATATTCCTTATAATGTCTTAAGTAAAATATCTTTTTACTACACGTGATACACTATTGTGGTTACTACCCTTAAATACGGAAAAATGTGTAGTGCTTCGAATTGGTAAAAATAACCCAGTTGTGCCGTACTTTGTTTACAGGTAGCCATTAGAATCTGTGTTTTTTTGTATAACGACCTTGGTATTATAGTAAACAGCAGCCTAACTTGGTCCGACGATATTACATCTATTAATAAACGTGCGAACTCCAGACTGTATCTTATTCGGAGGTTTTTTTCGAGAGTTAATGCAGTTATTCTGTAAAACTTATACTATTAACCTAAGACACATACTTGATTACGCTGGAACAACGTGGTATCCTGATTTGGATCGAGACAAGACTTTGTTGGAAAACATTTAAAGAAAAGCCACTCGAATTCCTTTGGGACCGAGAATACCTTCTTATGCAGAACCACTTGATATGGCTAACCTAAGTTATTTTGAACTTCGCCGACAACGTGGAGACTTAATTACAATATTTGAAATGATAAAATTTACTTTTGGAAATCTCGATTAAATGTTTACCATAAATCAAGATAACCGCCTCAGAGGATATCAGTTTAAACTAAAGAAAGAAAACTATTCTACAAGATCAAGACAGAACTTTCTACCAAATAGAGGTTTTAAGTGGTGGAATAACCTTAATGATAACATTGTCTTTGCTCCATCTACCAACTCGTTCAAAAACAGACCGTTTTATACTATAATTTGTTAAAATATTGTTTTTTTTTTAACCAAAAATTGTAATTTTGTTATTTTTTTTTAATTTTGTTGTTTACTAGAAAAATATTAATGAAATTACTTTGTTTTTGGACATAATAGGGACTTATTCTTCTTTCCTCGCTTATGTATAATAATAATAATAATATTTCAGATTAAAAATCTTTTGGTCTGTATTTTTTTCATTGTAATTAGTTTTTTTGTTATAATTTGACAGTAAGTTACAAAATTAGTAATGTTAATCGGAGGTTACGTGATCCGAATAAACAAACCGACAATGCTTACCGGTCACATAGCACTACACTTGTTAATTAATTAATTACATATTTTACAGCATAATAATGAGCTTATTATACATAAAATTTGCTTTATAATTTGTTGCTAATAATATGTTTTTTGATATAGAAAAAAGAACCATAAAATATAGTACTTATTAAGAAATCTTCCCAATCAAGTGTTGGTACAATAAACAACCGAAGCAGCAACAATTGTTGATGGAAACGACCGTTACCTGATGGAAATTCATTTTATGTAACAATCAAACACTGAAAACTTTGTTTTTAAACTTCCACAAAATTTATTTTAAATATTATCACTACAGCTGTTTCGGCTGATTGCCTTTCTCAAGTGATCTATTTTGGATTGGGTTTACAAATTTATAGTCTCTAATGAAATAGGTTGAGGAGAGGAGAACTGTTTGTCTCAAGTTGGTCATTCAGAATTATATCTGTGTTTTTTAATTTGTTGATTTCCATAGATTCTAACAAAGTTAGCTTAAGGCCTTTATTTTGAATGTGAAGAATTTTAAATTTGTCATTAAAAGAATGATTATGATCTAGAAGGTGAAGTGCGTATGTCGAATCTGTTTTTATATTCTTAAAAGCCCTTTTATGTTCTGCTACTCGTTTATCAAAGTTTCTACCAGTTTGACCAATGTAAGTTTTTGGGCAGTCGCCACATTGAAGTTTGTACACACCACTATTTAAGTGTTTTTTATTTTGGCTCTTGTTATTTTTAATATATTTGCCTAGGTTGCTATTTGTTCGGAAAGCTGGTGTTATTCCTTTTTTTTATGTGTTTGGCAATTTTTGTTGTTATTTTGCCTGTATATGTAATCGAGCAGAAGGTACTGGGTTTTTTCTTTGGTGGTGGAAATACTAATTTCAGGGCTTTCTTGTGTAGTTTTACCAGATCAGCATGTATACGAATGAAGTCACTCTTAATTATGCAGAAATCTTAATTTTTAAATCAAACTACGTACCAATCCATGGTATATATTTTCCAGATTATTATATGGAACTGGGACTTAAACATTAAAAAAATGCAATTTAAAAAGGAAATGAGGCTTTTGAATTTAAAATTGAAATTTGAAAAAAATATATCATGGACTGGTAGAACTATACATAATACCGGATATAAAAGTCCCGAGGAGAAATCTTACAATGAAACAAAACAAACTACCACTATACAAACAAGAAAAACTAGAATACCCAAACCATGTGATTAGAGAACGAAAACATGAATTTTTTTTAGTAAACGGGGAAAGATTCAAGATAGAAGATCTGTTGGCCAAGTACAGAATTCTTGATGTAAGAATTTACATGATCGGTATTAATACATACCGATTTATTTGTTTAGAGCAACAAGTTCAAAAATAAAAATAGCTATTATAATTGCCCACCTTCGTATTACCATGGAATCTAAGTTTTCACAGTCGGTGTCATTTGCAACTTTTAGAAATGTAAGCATCAATTTCAACGCTGTAAGTCATTATTTAGTGACGGAAACGACAAGGGGTTACGTCAGGACGAAAAAATTTTCGGCCGTAGCCACAACTTCT